ATCGGCTCTCCGTCACCGCATCAGGCGCCTCTGCCACCTGCTCTGCCGCAGTCGGTTGGCCCCCTGGAGTCGTCAGCCCTTCCTCCTCCATGGCTCCTCCCTCCGTCAGCGCCACCGTGGGTCGCTTTCATGGATGTGGCCTGGGTCCCACCTGGCACCGCATGCTCCCTCCTGTTTCCTCCTCTGTCTGCTGGCCCCCTCCTGGGTGTCTGTCTGTCCTACTGAGCCTCCTCCCAGTTCCCACCCATCCCTCCCTCTGTTGGTTCTACGGCGCGAGGACGCGCCTTCCTGGAGGGGTGCGAAATGTCAGGATTGGACTGTCTTTGTTGTGTTTTTCTCCCCATGTGCTCTCTGTGACCCAGTTTCTCCCTCATTTGCCCTTATTTGGTCGTTCCTGTTCCTGTCCTCGTTGTCTCTTAATTATTCATTCTATTCACCTGTGTTCCTCCCAATTCCCTCGTTATCCTGTGTATTTAAGCCCAAGTCTGTTCAGTCTGTGTTTGTCGGGTCTACATGTTGTGAACATGTGTCATCTTCTATTCCTGGTGTGGATTACCCCTGTTTGGATTTGATAAAAGACTGTGTTTGCTATTTTACGTCTCCATCGTTCCTTCCGGCAGCGTATCGTGACACCTTTCTGATATGTATAGCCAGCCATTTAATCAATTTTCTGATTGTATATCAATCAAGTCCCATCTTTTTCCTTATTGAATGTTCAGTTTCACTCAGAAAAATTTTACATTTAGACTTTAATATTAAGTCATATTTTCATAATAGGCTAACCCTAACACCCTGAAACTGATACTATTACTGTACCATCATAAGACTTTCTGTCTCTCTATCTAGAGATAGAGAGGGTTATTATAGTTAACTAAAACTAAAACCATAAAAAAAATAGTTTTGTTACTTGAATTGAAATAAAGGATAACGGAAATAATATTTAAAAAATCTGAAACTTATTAGGCTTTTTTTTTTCATCTTGATGCCAGGGCAACATTTCTCATTTTCATTTAGTTTAAATTGATGTGCTAAAACAACTAAAACTAAAACCTAAACAAAATGAATAAAAACTAAATTTATGCATATTTTTAAGAAAGAAAAAAACTAATAAAAAATAGCAAAAATATGCAACTAAATTACTAAAACTAGAACTAAAATAAAAAATGGACCATCTCTTCTACACCTCTTCCCATCTCCGCTCTAATTTCTACCCATTTCCACTCAGGAGAAGCTGAGAGGCATGAAGACATCAGGTGGAAGCCATCTGTCTATCTCATTCCTCTTTCAAGCTGATTTTCTGAATCATATTTCTGTAAAGAGGGTGAGCCACAGGTAGCAGATTGAACTCATATCCCCCGTTTGGGATATCAGAGGAGAGGGTAGATTCCTACAAGAACGTTCCGGTCCACAGACACCTGTGGTCTGCCTGATTACAAGCCCTGACATCTAACACCGAGGGAGTGTGTAATTCGACTGGCATCTGCTGATGAGGCTCGCTGTGTGTGTGTGTGAATGCATGTGTGTGTATGTGTGAACAGCTCATCCATGCAAAACAGCGACCTCGTGTAACTCCTGCGTAGCGTTCATCTGCTTTTGGTCACGTATACACACATACACACAATCACATGCATGCATACATGTAAAGGCATGAGTTTACATGTTTATACCATATAGACACACACATGCAAAATGATAAACAAATTGCCTTGAACAAACCTTCATACCACAAACATCTCAACAAGTACAGATCAAGTGATAACCACATTCACACATGCGCAAATTATGTGCATATGTGCTAAATCAGAAGAGCATCATGTGCACACATTATCGCATTGGGCGTTTGCTGGTGTCAGCTGCCCTGTTAAGGCCAGCAGGCAGAGCAAGGTCAGCACCAGGAACTGGGGCTGAAATAAAAGATTGCATAAGCACTTCACCAAAGAGAATAGAGAGAAGATAGGCTTGGAAAAAGAGGTTATGAGGAGAGAAATGATGAGGAGAGATGATCAGAAAAAAAATTGGATGGGAGGCATGCAGCAGAGGAAAGAGAAAAAATTAATATGAGAGAGGCAAGAGACGGTCAAATGGATTGGAGGAGGATGAATTTGGGCGCAATATCTCCATCCAGATAAAAATCAGAGAGTGGAAAGTAGAAATTAGCCTCTTGGATTGGATTAAATTGATTTTGGAAGGTTGAAGAGCCATCCTGAGACAATAAGTCTATATATGGAGAAATTATAATAATGAAGAAATTAGGAAAATGGCTCACTGTGTATGTGTGTGTGTGTGTGTGTGTGTGTGTGTGTACACTATCATTCAAACATTTGGGGTCTTTTTTGTAAGAAATTAATACTTATATATAGCAAGGATGCATTAAATTCAGAAAGTAAATATATTTTTACAAAAGATTTCTATTTCTGTTACCCTTTATTGCGTACAATGGCTAAATGTATATACATATCTTTTATGCAAAATGTTATTTTTTTGACCTTCATTTATATAAGGGTGGGAAATGGATGCAAACTAAGCACAGCATTGAGTCCTCAATGATTATGAACAAAAGTAGGACGCATTATAGTGCAATAATAAGAGAAATTGCCGAAATTCAAACTTTATATAACAATCCCTCCTCTTTTTTAATGCTCACACGCAATAACCTTGATTGAATCTCATTAAATTTGGCTTCCACATCCTGTCATTTTGTTTTCCACCCAATCAGATTATCTTCTGTCACCAAGCGGTCCATAGAGTATTCCCGTCATCGCAGGAAAGGGGAGACAGTAGTGGACTCACAGATGCGCCTGTAAACTCTGTAGCAGATGGCACTTCCTGTTTGGCCAGACTGCCGTTCTTGTGTGTTTGATTGACATGATGTTACTCTGTCAGCAAATACACACATTGTCCCCTGATTTTACTCTCCATCTCTACCAGAGCGAGAGTGATTTGACCTCTTTCTCTCACACATACATGCACTCTTACCTTTTTCCTCTTTAATGTCGGGGAAGGAAAGCCATGTCCAGTAAAGAGAACTCTTCATTATTTTTCTATATGTATCTCTCTCTTTTACACTCTCTCTCTCTCTCTCTCTCTCTTTGACAGGCATTTTTCAGGTCAACTCACACAGAAAGAAGTATAAAAGGGGTCTAAAAATATCTTTATAATGCATTCACTGACAAAAATGATTTGTTTTGTGAAGTTACACTCCTTTCTACTTTTCCACTTCTATCTGCACCCGTTTAGTTTACAGTGAAATTTAGAAACCCGAGATGCTATTTTGATTCTGCAAGGTTGTATTAAATTGATCAAATGTGACAGTAAAGATATTTAGAATGTTACAAAAGATTTCTATTTCAAATAAATACTGTTTATCAAAGAAAAAAGTATAATGGTTTCCACAAAAATCTTTTTTTTTTTTACATTGATAATAACAAGAATTGTTATTTGAGGACCAAAAATGATTTGTTTCTTGAAGTTACACTCATTTATACTCTTCCTCATCTATCTGCACTTGTTTAGTTTACACTAGAATTCAGAAACCTGAGACCACTAGTGAAAATCTAATTAGCATAAACCAACAATAAAATTTTTTGGAACACAAAAAAAAAGAGTCTTTTTTTTAACATTCTGTTTATTTACCAGTTTAATTTAGATAATGAATCCCAGATTTTCATTGTGGTCTCAGTCTTTTGAAACAAGAGTTTCAAAGGTTAAATGAAATGAGTATATTTTTGATCACAAACATGCAGAACACTTTTTTTCTGGTGTTAAACATTTCTTCTTCTTCTTCTTCTTGAAATTTTATTGGCGGTTGACAAACAACAAAATGGTGTATTTCCGCCACCAACTGGAATGGGGTGTGGATCAAAAATTTACTTCCTTCCCAATTTTCCTTCTTTTTTTTAAATTCTCTCCCACAAATTAGTTATTTTAAGGAACTGAAAAATAAAACCATAGCATTCATTCCATTAATTATTTTGTAAAATATATCTCGGTATAAATTGCATTTTTATTTTTTCTAAATTTTGCATTAGCATCCTTCTTTCAGTCTCATATTTCTGACAGTACAATATAACATGTTCCACTGTTTCTTCTTGTCCAAAAAATCCACACCTTCCCGTATCATGTTTACCCATTTTAAAAAGTGTACTATTTAGTCTTGTGTGTCCAAATCTCATCCTCGATATTACGATCTCATCTCTTCTGTTTTTCCCTGCACTTCTCATCTCTCCCACTTTCCTTTGAATTCTGTAAAACCACCGACCTTTTTTCTCCTTATCCCATTGTTTTTGTGTTAAACATTTATTTTTGTGCTGTGTATGTATAGAAATGCTAAACTTCACGGTTTGCACACAAAGACAAGAGTGTCAACACTGTGTGTGTGTGTATGTGCGAGCAAAGCACCCTCTGTTCCTGTTTCCCTAGAGGGTGTTTGTGTGAGAACATGAACACGTGCCTGGTGTGTTATGCCCTCCTTCCCTCAGGTCCTCTTCTCTACCACCTCTCATATTTTCAAAGCGAGGCGGTTGATAGCTTGACCAGAGCACGAAGAACGTCAGAGAAGGGAGGTGGGACTGAGGTGGGAATGGGAATTCTTGTTTTTTATACCTCAGAGGTTACTTCCTGATTCCTCCACATTGATTTTTCCTTCATCCCCGGAATCCAAACAAGCCGTCAGAACGGTATCAAGTAAAGCTGGAGTTAATGAAAGGCCTGCGAGCCGCAGCAGAACAATGGCGAGAGAGAATATTCACAGAGCTAACATCAAACTTTGATCTTGTAGCCGATTTGTGTCTTTCTTGATATTCTGTGTTTATGATGCTTTTTGTTGTTTGCCTTTGCTTTTCTTTTTTGTCACCTTTTGAACAGAATGAGAACAATAACCTCTTGCTGATTTCTTGTTTTTTGCTCTTTCTTGTTTTCTTTTTTGATTTTTCTCTTGCCACAGTAATCTTTTTTTGAATTTTCTCTTTTCTCTTTTTCCCTCCTTTTTGTCTTAACCCTAGGTCCACTCACAAAAAAACATGATGAATCGACACTGAACCAGCCACGAGATGAAGGTATTTTTGTTGCATGTTTTTCCTTTTTTCTTGTCTTTTTTAGAAAAGTCTTTTTTGGAAAATGAAAAAGCAAACAGCCTTTCCTTGGTAGTGATGAAGAGTATATGAACCACGAGTGCATATATGTATGTGTATGTCTGTGTGCAATGAGCTAAAACTTTCTCTTTGACTTTGAAGAGAGACATGCAACTTCTGAAAGTTGTAGACGATGGCAGAAAAAACACAGTATTTTCATTAAATGAGAGAAGAACTGTGGTTTTGAAATGTAATACTCCGATAGTGCTGTCTGAAGCACAATTTTACAGCAGTTGCTTTATAATGTTTTTCAAGACTCAGAGCGATTATTAGGCTTTAAACTTATCTCCAACTTTTCACCGTGTTTTGTCAGTGTGAATAGTTCTCTGGATGCGGTAGTAAAGACCAGTCAATAAATCTAAGAAATAAAATGCTACCATGGGGAGAAAAGCCAGAAAAACACAGATACACACACACACATGGATCAGCACATGTTGTCCTCTTTTATCTTGGATATTGCTATTAATGTCCTTTTTTAGCTCTTTTCTTAAGAGCAGTGTGTGTTTTTTTGCCCTGATGTTCTTTCTTGTGTTTACGAAAGTTTTTTTTTCTTCTTCTTCTTCCCTCTCATTCTTGCCGGGTTTTTTATAGTTCTTTGATAATGTGAAAAAATAGGATTGGAAAAGCTCTGAAAATAACTTTCATGCAAATTGGCACTCATTGGTTTTATTGTATTGATAAAATGCAAAAAGCTTCCTTAAAAAGGATCCTTAAAAGCTTGTGGCCTCTCTAGAACTGAATTATTGACCCATTTGATTGTAATTAGTACTGAATATAACTAATCTAACTATAACCCAGTCATGACTAGTCTGCATTACCACTTCATTAATAGATTATGAAGATAAGTGTGGAGAAAAAAGATCTGGGATGAAGGACAGCCACAGAGATTGAATGTGAATGTCCATCTGTCCATTTGTCAAATCATAAATAAAAGATATAATTATATACAGTTTAATATTTTTTTACAAGTTAACATAATTAGTATGTATGTTTACTTATGAATTGTTTTACTAAAGGAAGTACAAACCCGATTCCAAAAAAGTTGGGACACTGTACAAATTGTGAATAAAAACAGATAGGACAATTATTTGTACAGCGTCCCAATTTTTTTGGAATTGGGTTTGTATATTTTGCCAGATTAGGTCTGTGGACTTTTTCTTTTTTTTTTTTACAGATGGGGCAAAAATGACAAAATGAGGTTGTCCTTAGTAGGAAACACAAACTTTATAAATCATTAAAATTTTGAGTTTTGGGGTTTGGTTGGTTGAGGTTTGGTCTATCATCAACATAATTAGCTTTGGTACAAGCAATAGAGTTCTGTCTTCATTTAGCTACAATAGGTAAATGTATGTGAGTGTCAGGTGTTTATGGGAAATGCTATTTGTGAACATGGCAGTGTTAAGCTGCTGAAAACAGGATCGATTTATTGCTGAGGGAGAAAGAGTGACATCTGAGCACGAGTTTGTGCATGTGTCCGAGTGAGTGAGTGTGTGATTAGTGTAAGCTTCAGCCGAAGGCCAAGTGTCGAGATAAAGGTGTGTGTCCACCTGAGCCCAGCTCATTATTCAGGCTGTGTCACATCATTATCAAAGTGAACACACACTCAAACACACTTGAAATATACAGCTTCATGCTCACTTTCTCCACCATCTCTCACGCTCCATCTGTGTCACGCACACTTTATAAATTGTTCAGCCAGACAGCATCGAGCACGACCTCTCACTCAACACCAGTCTATCAACACTTCAGTCTAGATCAGGTGGATTGAAAAGCAAAGACTTTAGGACCCTGAATCCATGCATCCCTGTCCACAACAGACCTAACTGCTATGATATAAGCCATCTGTTTAGGGGTTATGCTGTTCATGGCTCACCTCACTCAGGGTCTTTCCTTTTAGTATATATGAGACTTACGCAACAGAGCTGAAAGAATGTTCATGTTTTTTAAGGTTTGGAGATCAGTTAATCTTATTACTCATAAACCAGTTTATCAGCCAGGTTTTTTATTATTTTTTTTTGTTTTGTTTATTATTATTATTATATTTAGAGATATGTTCCCATGTAATCTAAACAACCAAAAATGTTCATACAATTCCCCATATTTGTCAGTTCCAAAGTTTACTGACAGCTTTGGCAATGCAAAAACTATTTTTAAATTTAATGTAAAATAATGTGAGAAATAAGAGTTGTGTCTTTTACTATCATTAAATTATAACATATACACAACCATTCAAACGTTTGGGGTCAGTATAATTTTATTACAGCAATTTTGTTTATTTTTTTATATACATATATAGTATTTATTTTGAAATATATTAGAATAGGTTTATTTTTAAGGTTGTTCTTCATTGGTTAATGAACAAGTTTTTCACGGATGGTTACCCTGAATTACAAAACTGTGGCAACTGCAATCAGCGGCTGATTGGTTGAGGAGCTTCAACCATAGTGCAGCAGCACAACTTTGTGTAGTTAAGCATAACAAAGCTAGATTGGGTGGTGTGTTTGGCAGTAGTTGTATCTTAACTTCTTTCCACAATTTGCTGGCCTTTTTTTTATATTTGTCCATATGACAGAATACATTTTCTAGTGCAGCTCATTGTCACTCACAGCCTCATTTAAATCAGTCACTATTTAAAAAAATTACATCTCATAAATATGATAAGGGAGAGTGACCAAAAACAACATCAGTGTAGTATAACCAGACGTCATGGGAAATGATGCATCACATGCTCAAAGGACAATTATTTTCGCAAGCGACAACGGTGTTCTAGTTCTAATGCTATGACGAAGGTTTGAGCTAAACACGCTAACTGTTCTGTCTTTGGCTGCACAGACGAACACAGAACACTATTTAGAGTCCCAGCCTCAGAGACAAGTGGATTTATTGATTTATTTAATGTATATATCTGCTGCCACACAGATCTAAAATAAACATGCAATTTATTTCCCAGCTGTTTACCTTCACAGACATAACCGACTGTTTTTTGTAACTCACGTGTGTTTTTAACGTAAACTTGTGTGTGAATGAGAACTTAGTTTAGTACTCACATGCTGTGACAGCCACTTTCTGTCCGTGTGCTTCCAATGAGTGCTCTCAGAAAACCGTATATCAGAAGTTTAAACTCATATGGTTTAAAACGCATGATTTCAGCGCGATAAACATGATAATCAGAACCAGAACAGATGTTTTTAGCAGGTACGAGCTGTAACGGCGCAGCTCTATTCTGGAAAAGGGGGCTGGGAGCAGCAGCTCATTTGCATTTAAAGAGACAGGCCCGAAAAACAGCGTGTTTCTGCTTCCACTCAAAATAGATATTTTCAAAATTATATAATAAATGATTTGTGGAGTATTTTGAGCTGAAACTTCACAGACACATTCTGGGGACACCAGAGACTTATATTACATATTGTAAAAAGGGACATATGTCTCCTTTAAGATGCGTATAGTGAGAAGCAGTGTTGGTTTAATTTAATTTATATACTATAAATAATACTTATTTTAATTTTAGCTTGTTTTAGTCATTTTGTTATGTGCTTTTTGTTTAGTTTTTTTCTATTTAACTTTATTTTTAATTTCCATTTTCATAATCTTAGTACTTCAACTTAAATTAATTTTAATTCCGTTAGTTGCCAAGGCTACTCTTTTTTTTTTTTAAGTTAAATGGTTTTATTTTATTTCAGCTTTATTTAAATTAAGGAAAGCCATTTTTTATAGTTTTAGTTTTAGTTAACAGTAACAACTCTGGTGACAAGACGTTATGTGCTATATGTTTAAGTAGGACAGCAATCCTTCAGATAAAAACAAATTGACAGCAAATCTCTACAAGTGGGATGATTCCACAGCATATAGATTTGCTCGTTTATTTACTTGAGCTAAAAGGCACCTGTCAGAGTTTGCCTCCAGATTTAGGCCTAATTGATCATATTCTCAATATTTTTTTATATTTGACATCTAAGCATTTTGTCTTCTCAATTTTTTTGAAAAATATTTATGCAGCATAATATAAGCTACATAATAGGAAGTAGCATAGTTTAAGTTTGCAAAGAGACCATTGAAAACTAACTTTGCTGTTGTTGACACATCGTGATGAGATGTTCTGTAACCTCTACAGTGTTCAGGACTGCACATACATTCATCATTAGAACTCTAGTGCCACAGAAGTGCCGACACACTCCTGCAAGCAATAGATTTGCTGTCGACCTGAACGCACACACAAACACACACACACAGAGTTCCCTTTGGGATTGATTGTGTGACACAGAGTGTGGTGTGTGTGTGTGTGTGCGTGTGTGTGTGCGCGCGTGCGTGTGTGTGTGTGTGTGTGTATGTGTGTGTGTGTGCGTGTGTGTGTGTGTGTGTATGTTTGTGCACTCGTGCTGTGTCTGATGAAGGTGCTGAGCTGGAATCACCTAGTGCAGTGGTTCTCAACCTTTTTTTCCACTGGGCTGCACTATGGTCCAAGTCTCACATCACGTGCAAGTCTCACGGGCCGCACGCATATCATTTACACATTACGTCACCAATACAAACCAACCAGATTTATAATAGCCTATTATAGCCTAAATATTATGATATTTAATCGATTACGTTCATTGAAAAATAAATAAATAATTATACTCACCATTAATAAAACACCTGATGCTGTCAGGAGCTGACCAATTTTGTGAAATTCGGCTCGAAAGGAGTAACAGCACAATGAAGTTGCGATTGTAAGTTGCAGTCTGTAAGACGCGCGACATTGCAGAAAATGTGCATTCACAAATGTAGCCTATGTTGATCCAAATATGGAAAGCACGTTCAAATGTAATAATCTGAGGTTCTCTCCAGAGATGTTTTGCCACATTTCTGCAATTAAGAATGATTGCTGCATAGTTATAGGTCTTTCCTTTTGCCTGAACTAGAGCCCTGCATTTCAGCCCGGGCCC